GGATTCTTTGTTGCTGAAATATAATCCTGTTCCTGTTCACCCAAAGTACCCACAACAAAACTGGTCTGATTGTCCTTTGGGACATCGGTCAAAGTTTGAAAGTTAGTCCCTTGGGACATCCGTTAAAAGGGGTAACTTCAGTAGAGTCGCAAAACCGAGTTATAATTGCACTACGGGGCAAGATACAGTTTGCAATTGCACTTCGGGCACCCTACCTGGCCAGAAAGCTGGGTTGTATACATTACCCGAACTGCAATTCGAAACTGTATCTTGGCTCATAATGCAATTATAACTCATTTTTGTAACTCTCATGTAGTTTCCCCAATTGGGAACTAAAGAGAGAAAAGATTAGCATGGCTCCTGCACAAGGATGGCATGCATGAGTCGAGAAATGGTTCAAATTAAAAAATAAAATAAAAATGGAATGATACATAGAAGATTAGCATGGCCCAAACTGGTCTGATCTGTAGCACTAAGTGATCCTATCCTGGACCATCCTCCATCCTCCGTGTATCCCCGTCATTGACTTGTAAGGATTTTCCACCAGGTCCACCTTCCCCCCCATCCCAGATAATCATGCCTAACCAGCCTCAGCCTGATCCAGTCCCACAACTCCCTCTCTGCATTACAGTCTAAGAAATGCAGGCCAGGGAAGGGATACTGCTGATCCTCAGGCTTCAAGGTTCACGAATGTGTTTTGCATGGGTTTTGAGAGGGGAAAAGTGTTTTAAGGGCTTCAAGGGCTTAAAGGGTTTAAAGGAACAGGTATAGCAATAACAATTAGGGGGGCTGCTGAGTAGGGCTGGGTCATAGAAAAGGGGTGCTCCAGGAAGGGATGGGTGATACTGGCAGCTCCATGGGACAACGGAGCCCCAGGTTGCGACAGAAATGGCCACAGTCCTAGGAAACAACAATTAACACTCTGTGTCTTATAAGATGTATCAATGGGACGCTGGACCCGGTTTCCAGCAGGTGCCGCTCCCCACCAATAGATGGAGCAGCCCAACAGATTAGCCCTCAATTCGGACGGTTCTCTTACCACCGCCGGAATCGAGGGCTTACGCAAGGGCTATTTTCCACAAAGAAAAAAAAAATGTATGAAGTACTTCAACCAGTTTCGTCTGGCTTGCATTATCCGGTCTGCAGACCCGGATAAGCCAAGGGTGCCTGGATATCCATGGCTGTGCTACTTAGCATAAATAGAGAAATGCTCCAAAATAACGAATAAGAAAACGGCACTTTATGCGGATGGACAATGCTAATGCTACCGGACCAAAAAGACTCGTGGCGGCTGTTCCAGGATTCCTCATACTTGGATAAAAGAGCTAAGCATGGTCCAGTTGATGAAGCTCAGTGGTTAGAACACCGGTTGGAAATGCGCATTGTGGTATGAGGTTGCGGGTTCAAAACTCAACTGTAGCCTTGCCCATGGACACCTGCAGGGCGTTAGAATGACGCACGGCTGGACACACATTCCCTTGGGCTGACGCACGGTAAACGTATACAGACGCTGCCTGCGCACCACCCTGTGACGCCCAACCTCACGCCCAGCGCGACTTCCTGATTGGAGTGGGATGTGGGCCTGGAAGTGCGAAAAGGGGTGTGCCAAGAATTTTTGGGGAAAGTGGGGGAGTCTTAAGGGTATGAATGCAATTAGGCGAGCGTGCGCAAGGGACTCACGGTCCGATGGGGCCGGGACACTGTAGGCGACGGGTTACGGGAAAATTCCTCTCCGGTGGAGGTGGTCCTGAAAAGTTAGGCCGTCGGGGGCCGCCGCGTACCTAGGTTGAGCCTCCGAAATTCCGGAGTGTTCTGCGCGCCGTTGCGTCGGCAATTCACGCAAAACGTATTGGGCCAATAGGGGTCTATGGCTGGCCACGGAACGACACTGAGTTGATGATACGGGAGAAGGAGGCGGAAAGGAGGGAAACTGGTGGTGATCTCAACGAATCCTGGGTGGGTGAAGTTGTATGTGTGGTCGGGGGAAGGGAAATCGGAGCACCGAGGGTCGCTAGTGGTAGCACAGTGGAATTCCCGCGGACATAACCGATTCTCCGTGTGACAGAGGTATCGTGTCCTTATGAGCTCGTTTATTATAGGGGTGAAATAGTCCGGGTCGTAGGATGAGTCTGAGTTCCAAAATCACGTCATGGTATCATCGTCGGTGGGATAGCGCGGGTCGGGTTTTCGTCACCGCGTACGAGCACGTGCAGGACAGGCCGATTCAGTGGCGCCTCAGTGTGCTCGTACGGGATGATGGTTCCGCCGTGACTCCTTTCTGGGGGAGCGAGTCGTCGCACGGGAATGCGTGTAAACACGACTCGGATCGTCTATACTATAGAATAAAATATTATAGAATAAAATTGTAAAACAATCTTGTATTTGCTTTTTGTCTGATTTGCTTCTTAAAACAGAATTTCCTTGTTTACGAGTAGATAAAAAACAAACTAGCGTTTAGGTTTCTTTTCTACATATAAGCCAAAAACGGTATTTTTTTTACTCTAAACAACTATAAGATTACCATCTGGAGAAGTACGTCTAATAGATAAAAATAGATTGAATCTATTTTCATCTATTTATATGATATATGATTGATTCCATTATATATTATTTCCAAATATTTTATTTATTAGATTTAATTTTAAAGTAATATATTTTAGCAAAAACGAGGACAAAATCGCTGTCGGGGCCATATTCCTATCCCATCTACAACTGCATCAGGTGTGGGCAAAGATTCGACACAAACAAAAGGCAAGGACAGGGATTCTCAACAAAAAGATATATAGACAGGCATAACGTCCACACATCCACACATTCGTACATCCATACATTCGATAATCATACKCATAATGCCATGAGCAAAAACCCAAGCCCAAATCTCAGAAAGCCGAAACGAAAATAAGAACGGGCAAACCGCCCGGAGCCGTAATCAAAATGTATGTACACAGATGAAGAGGGGGAAGAGACAAAGAAACAGCAAATCCGCGTCCATCGATCTCAACTCTCTCTTCCTCTCTCTCTCTCTCTCTCTCTCTCTCTCTCTCTCCGATGCGGACAGTCCGTCGTCACTCACCAACCCACGAAGTTGTCACCCCGCTTAGTCCTCCCGCACCCGTCGGATTCGTCCGTGCCCACAGTCCGTCGTGGCCCACGTCAATCCCGCGCGTTCGGCACCAGCCCGTCGGGTCGCCCAACCCCTACTCTACTCACCTCTTACTTCGCTCGTGTGCCGATCCTTCCTGATCGCGCAACCCTGAGCTTCCAACAACGGGTTAAGAGAGCTGACTAATCGCGCAACCGAAATTTATAGCGTGCATGCATGCGCGAAGAACACGGAGTTACCAAGGCTTAAAGTGAAGATTAGAGAGGGAACGCCTGCGTTCTGCATGATCGGCCGCGACGTGGGGGACGTAACCCTTCTCCACGCATCGATCCGAGCATGCAAGCCGCTACTTACAAAATTTCAGCAAAAGAAAGAGAGGGAGGGCGGGAGAAACGAAGTGCAAGAAGAGAGATACAGTTACAATGGCGTCCGCCAAAAATTACAGTTACACACGCGATTAAGGGCGCCTGCTAATCAGAGTTCCGTTGCAGCCGCATGAAGAAGCGCGCAAACAAAAAGCGCCGCGCGGCTGGAAAAATCCTAATTACTAAATTCCTAAATTCCTATCTAATGCGAAAAAGCAAAAGACACTAATTCCAGAAGGAAAGTCCGAAATTTCGAGAGCCATTGGGGGCTCGACAAAATTCGAAAAAGATTCAAGAGGAATTAAAAAAAAAGAACGAAGCAATTTCCCGCGTGATGTCCGCGCCCAAAAGATCGAAAACCGAACCAAAAGAAACGACGTCAATATTAATCGCGCGTGCGCGTGGCGTCACGCCAAACAACCATTCGGCCAATCAATCCACCAACCGTCCCAGGACACACCCAGCCCCGAAGAAACGACGAAAAAGATGAAGAAGCAAGGGTACTGATGCAATTTTCCACCGATCCCGATTTCCCGTAATTGGCCCAATCTTCCCAGCTTAGGACCCCTCGTTGCAACCGCGCAGAAACTCGCGCGTTACAGAAAGTGGTTNCCACCGATCCCGATTTCCCGTAATTGGCCCAATCTTCCCAGCTTAGGACCCCTCGTTGCAACCGCGCAGAAACTCGCGCGTTACAGAAAGTGGTTCGTCACATATGTGACGCCCAGGGGGTTCCAATATTAGCAAGCTCCTGCTTGCTTGTTGACACGTGTCGATTTCTCTAATCGATCGACACGCGAAGCACTTCTCTTTATGCCACTTACCGTTCGATTGCGTGCTGATGTCATCCAACGTGGCAACTTTGCTCTTCTACTACTTCCTCAAATTGGGCTCTCGACGGTCCAAGAACGGGATTTTTCTTGTGCCGTTACCGCGACACGCATCCATTACCGGTTGCATCAGTAATTAACTGGAAGGGGAAAAGGGAGCGGTGCATGGCGGCATGGCGGGGTGGAGGGCTTAGGGGTAGCGGGGGCAGGAACCTTTCCATCCCGGCTGCAGATTTTGGAAGCGCTTGGTAGCGGACGATGCGGTGGAAGCGGGGGAAACGGTTGCCAGTGCGAGGGAGGGACGCGAGGTAATCTGGATAGAGGGTGGTGAGAGTTCGAAAAAGTGCCGCGCGGAAACGATCGCGATCTTCACAGGCGGGGATGGTCCCCGTTACTATGCAATAAACCTCGATCATATTGTGGCCTCGCCACGCGGCACTAAGGAGCAAAACATGGAGGCAGAAGGTTGGGACGGCGCACTGAATGGAGGGGTGGGGGTGCACTACTATACCGAGGCGAGCAGCATAGAAGTGGCGGAAGGTATCGCGGGGAAACGGGTTGGAGGGGAACGTGATGGGGGTGGTGAGCTGGCGGAGGGTAAGAGGACGGCGAGAGAGTAATCGGGGACGAAGGACGATCCCCCGTATCGGTACGTCGGCGAACTGGGGGACGGGTTGGGGAGGAGGGAGACCGGCTCTGTCGCCGCGTTGATGGGGTCGGAGTCGTGGCTGTGAGGTCGCCATGTTTTGGTCAGGGCGGCTCCGGATCTTGGTTTGGGTCGTCGTGGACGTGCAAGCTTGCCCCGCTTGCAAACTCTAGTTCCCTCTTCCTGGCCGCGGTTTCTTCTCTTTTGCGGGCCGCCTCCGGATCTTCAGCCTCCGTGCCCGCGCGCAGCGCTTCTTCCGGCACAGCTTCCCACTCCGATTCCACAGGTCCTTCTTCATTCTCCTCTTCTCCTTCGTTGTCTTCTTCTTCTTCTTCGCTCTGCTCCCCCTCGCTATGCTCGCTATAGCTTCCTTCTTCGGGGGTTTCGTCCTCTTCCCCGAGTACTTCGTCGCTTTTCCCACTTTCTTCCCGCTCGTCTTCTCCTTCGTCACTCTCAGTGCTTTCTTCTTCCTCTTCTTCCTCTCGAATGGCAGCAAGCTGCTCTGCCGTTGGATGCCTGAAGAAGGAAGGATCACAAACCGTCCGGGGATCCAAATACTGCTGTTGCGACGGCGGGATGCGCTCTACGGTTCCCTCCACACAAGCCGACCACTGGAGATACGGCGTCAACGGGCGAGAAAGTACATGAGGAATCGGGTGCTCGTCGTCTTGCGAGATGATGTCGAGAGGGAGATCGTCCGCCAGCTGCGCTACAGGGATCGCGAGCTCTTGCGCCATCAGTTCGTGATGTTCGGGCCGTTCTGTACCGAACAGAAACGCGAGGAGTTCTCCCTCCACGTTGGTTCGCCAAGCCTGGATGAACAACAACTCCATGCGCTCTATGCAAGGCGGGCGCGCCTCGTCCTCGGTCCACATCAGCCGTACCTCGACTAAGCACAGTGAAAGCTCGACGAAGTCTTCGCGCCACAGTTGCGAGTGTGGGGGATGAATGTCGGGGACAGCAAGGGTCGTTAGACAGTAGGAAAGGCGAGGATGGATATCGGACTGCCAGAAGGTGGGGAGGGTAGAGGGGAGATAAAAAACGGAGATCGGAGAGAGACTCATTGGGGGCGAGGGAAGGGAACAACAACAGGGAGAACCGCCGACGGATCACATTGGTACATCCGAAGGCCGTCGTATTCGATCGCTCGTGTCGGCGCGACCGTGTCCCCGGGGCGAGCCAAAAGCTGGGTCCACTTGGCGACCAGATCGTTTGCCCACGCGCGCAACGATGTCCTCACGACCGAATGTCGTAAAGGGAGGAGCGTGGAGAGATCACCATGGAAGTTGATGACGACCGATATGCAGCTGACACCTGGCACTGCTCGCTGATGAACTGCTACTGCCTTGGCCAGTACCACTGCGTTGGGCCGGCCCTCGATTCTGAACACCGCCGCTGCATACACGCCTGCCGTGCAGAAAAAGTGCGCAAGACGCCAGAGATCTGGACTGAGATGGGGATGATAGACTTGCGGGATCATCAATCGATCACGGGGTGCAAGCGATGCTTCGTTGAGGGCTCTTTCCTCCAGAAAACTCATGGCGATGGCGATGGAGACGGAGAGGCAGAGAGGGAGCAAGAGGAAGAGGGGGATGGCGGAGAGTCCGAGCCGTCGTCTTCGGCTTCCTCAGAAGGAGAGATCGAGGGAGAAGGAGATGGAGCAGAGGGGAGGAGGCGAAGATAGGACACGTGGCGTGTGATCGGGCGGGCCGATCGGCTGCCAGAGGCTTCCGGGGCGAGACGCACAGTGTCCACGCCGTTGGGGCCGAGCTCGATCACGCGATATCGCCCGAAGAATCGTGGCGCTAGCTTACCCTGGCGAGCACATTTCCTCACCTGCACCACGTCCCCCAATTTGTACTAGGGTCGTGGACCGGCATTCCCATTTCGGGCCTCGTAGCTCCGGATCTGTCGGCCTTGGGCTAGCTCGGTCATTTTCTGTCGTTTTTGGGCTAGCTTGGGCAGTGACCATTCCATTAGCTCTAGGTGTCGTTTGGCCTTGTCCCTAGCCGTGGCCCTGGTGGGACGTCGGTTCACTGTAAACTCGTCCGGGAGGCTTGGTATTGAAACGCAAGCGACGCTATTGGTCCTTAATTGGAAGGGGCTCAGCCCCGTCGATTCGTGGGGCGTTCCGCGATGAACCGCCAGGATGTGATCGACGATATCGGGCCAGGGTCTCGGATCCCGTGCCGCGATATTTCGTCGCAATGTGGTCTTTATCACCCGGTTGGCGTTTTCGACCAGCCCATTGGATTGTGACATGTGGGGTGCGGTGTTCCGTATGGCGACGCCATGTATGACCAGACTCTTTAACACTTCTCCTCTGAATTCAGCCCCGTTGTCGGTCAGGATCTCTTCCGTATCCTGATGCATCCCGAGGAAACGGTTGACATACCGCGCTATTTCTGTGGCTTGCCGCGTGCGACAAGGATACGCTTCGATCCATTTCGAGAAATGGTCGACAAATACCAATAGGATTGAATATTCGCAGCTATTAGGGCCAGGGGGTACCACTATGTCGGTAGTGTCCATGCTCACTCTTTGAAATGGCCGTTCAACAACCGTGGGCACTATCGATCTTGGCGGCTGAATCGACGCCTTGTCAGCGGCGCAGACCTGATAGTTGGCGACAATGTATTTCACATCGTCGCGGATATTGGACCAATACCACTCATTTTTGTCGATAGTGGACTCCGTGATTCGTACGGCAAAATGAGCTCCAGTTTCCTCGTGGGTTGTCTTAACCCAGTCGTACCGCATGAACGGATGCGGCACTACCATCCAAATCCCACTACCGTCCGTTTTCCGTTTTTCTAATCTACCCTCTATCCATCGATAATCCCGAGCCCTTTCGTTGGCCCTCCTCCGATCTTCCTTAGTGAAATCCTGGAGGGGGTTACCTACTAGGGTGGCAATCAAGGCAATATCCGTCCATACTTCGGCCCTTCTAAACTTCCGGGTCTTTTCCAGATGTCCGATGGGGATTTGCAATGCGCCTGCCACGTGTCAGGGAGCAATGAACATGACGTTCCAGAATTTCGTCAACAAGACACGGCTAATGCAAGGGATGATTAACTTTTGCGTGATCGTGTACATGGACGATATCCTGGTCTATTCGAAAACCTATCATGGGCACGCGCAACATATTGAATGGACATTGGGCGCGCTGAGAGACGTTGGGTTCAAGATTGCGCTCGAGAAGAGCGAATTTTTCCTCTCGAAAATTTTTTTCTTCGGCTACGTCGTGACACGTGGAGGATTGCGGCCGGACTCGAGAAAAGTTGCGGCGGTAAAGGAAGCTCTGGTTCCCACGTCACTGACGCAGGTTCGAGCCTTCTTGGGACTGGCGTCGTACTACCGGCGCTTCATCAAGGGCTTTGCCGCGATTGCACGACCGCTAAGGAACCTGTTACGGAAGGACCAACCTCTCAGTTGGGACGCGGAGTGCCAGCAGGCCTTTGCAACCCTCAAAGACGCTCTGGCAACGGCCCCTATTTTGATTCGGTCAGACCCCTCGAAGCAGTTCATCTTCATCACGGACTGGCAACCAGAAGCTATTTCCGCTATTTTAGCCCAGAAGGGGAACGATGGTCGAGAACACGTCATCAAGTACGCGTCTCGAACCGTACCAGACGAACGAAGAAATGACTCCGCACCTCAAGGCGAGTGCTATGCGGTAGTTTGGGGAATCCAGCACTTCCATCCGTACCTCTACGGACAAAAGTTTCGCCTCGTAACGGATCACGAGCCTATGCTGGCGTTGAAGAAGCTCACCAACTACACGGGCATGATTGGCCGTTGGGCGGTGCAATTGCAAGAATACGACTTCGATATCGTCCATCGAAAGACAGAGCGACACGGCAACGTGGACGGGCTGACACGTCTGCGCCGACCTGTCAAGGTACCAAAGGGCGAGGAAATTACACCGTGGAAGGAGCCGGACCTGACCAACGAGCCTAAGTACGGACAAGTGGCAGTCCTCCCACATGGCAAGAAGCCAAACAGTGGCGATGGGTGACGGAGGTAAACCCACTACCCCTCTCTCCCCCCCTTCCTCTTCGTCTCTCCTCTCCCTGCCTGATAAATTTTGCTATTTTTGCAAAGCCATCTCCCACGTATACTCGGTCTCCACGTGTCCTAACGGAGAAGGGTATGTCAATTGGATAGATTGTCGACAGTGTGTCGCACGAGCCCATGGCTCGTGCATCCAATACAGAAACGATAATAAACCGTGGTTGTGCCCCTAGTGCCGGACCAACAAGATTCCGACCGAGGCTCGCTTTTTGGATGCCACGTCAACTGCCACGTGCCCTCAAACAACACAAAGGCCGTTTTCGATCGATCTTCTTCCCTTACCAGAATATGATGGAAGCCATGCCGAATATCAAACTTGCTGAAATAATTAGCGCACCCAATCGCATCCAATAGATCATCAATCCGGGGGAGGGGATACATATCCTTGATCGTGATTTCATTCAGCTTGCGATAATCAATGCAAATGCGAATCGCCCCGTTTTCTTCGGCACTAATACTACGGGAAAGGACTAAGGTCCGGTAGCGGGCTCAATCCAACCGCTAGCTTCGAACTGCCGAATTCGTTCGAGAGCCTTTTTGCGCTCAATCAAGGAATAGCGATAAGGTTTGCAATGAATCGGGGAGTGATTTCCTGTCTGAATTTCATGTTGGATTACTAACGACAACCTGATGTCAGTGTCTGACACACTAATTGCTCCTTGGTATTCCGTTAGAATATCCGCAATTAACCGGTGAATTTCATCCGGCACATATTGTGGAACGTGCAGTTCAAAAGGTTGGTCCCAGATCCGAGCGTCAATCTATTTCGTGTTCGCCTGTTTTGTCGAGTCGGGTGGAGGCGCCGAGATAAATGAATGATCCGATCGCCAGGAGAACACCGTGGCCATCATCAGAGCATCTTCTTCTCGGATTGCCACGTGTCCTTCCGGGGTAATCCCGTCACAAACATCCTGCCACGACACTTCCTTAGTTGTGATTTTTATCCCCAGTCCGTCTGTTTCTGCTTCAAAACGCCCAGGGGGTTCCAGAGTGCTTGCTTCCGCCCCCAAGAGTAACAATCTCACTTCTTTGGTCGAGGTTAGTAAGGACTTGGGTAGATCCGTAATCTATATAACCGTTTGAACGCGGTGAACGCGCGTTCGCATTCAAATGTGTGTTTGAAAGCGGATTGCGCGTTCGCGTTCAAAAATTGAACGGCGTTCAATTTTTATATTATTAATTTTTTTTTTTCAAAAAAAAATTTCGATGCCTAAATTTTATTTTTATTTGTGAGTTCTATATGATGTGGGCCACATGTCTGTAAATTTTGGAGTCATTTTGCCAAGGGAACAAAAAATGAAAAATCGCCAAAGATGGCGGTATCAAATCATGCTCGCCCACTAATTTCAATTCTTTTTCTACTTTTTTTTTTTTCTGTTCTCTATTTTTATTTCGAATTTGATAGCGAATTTGGATGTGATTCTCGAGCAAAAGTTGTTTAATTTATTTTTCTTCATAACATTTTTTTTTTTCGGAATTCTTAGAGCTCTTTTTTTTTTTTTTTTTTTTTTTTTTTTTCCTGCGCGGAACTTAACTCCGCGTTCGGTCGCGTTCACTAAACGCGCGTTCATTCCGTTAAATTTCTGAATGGAAAACCTGCGTTCAATGAACGCGCGGTAACATAGTCCGTAATATCACAGTAATGCTTCTTGTCGCTGTACTGGACGAGGAGAGGGGTGATTCCTTCGTTCAGAGTTTGAGGGGGTTCCAAAGAGTCGACCATCCTCGAAATCGGCACGAGGTGCTCTCCCAAGATCATCGCCTTGGTCCTTTGAACCTTTCGGCTGGTCAGTTGCATCGTTCTTGC